GCAGTATCGCTATGGAGGGGGGGTAGATGGGGCTATCAAAGAATGGCAATATGTTTGTTTGCGGTTCATACACAAACTAAGTCTTAAACTTGCGTCCAGCTTTCCTTATATATCCTCATTAAAATACAAGTTTTACGAGATCTGCCTTGCGTTAGAGATCATGAATCGCCAACATTGTGGCCATGGGAGACTACGTATGTCAGATTTACAACGCGTTTTTCTAGATTCTTTTGTATCTCGGTTAGCATCTAGATGGTGCCTAGCTGGGATTAAAGGTTCTTTTAGAGCATTAGTTGAAGCAAAAGAATTCGCCAAGGTCAGGCTCGCTCTTGATTTCATCGCTGCTATTTTAACCATCCAAGATTTTAAAATAAAAAAAGAAGTTGATATTCTGAATATTTGTTTACTCCAAAATTGCGACCAACTAATTGATAACAGTATAGCAATAAAGTCAAAATAAGGTAACTTTAATTCGTACAAGGATTTAAGAAATAATGTATGATGGCGATTTCTCATGCTTTAAAATTTAATTAACGAACATCTTTATATTGTTGGAAATATGAGGGTCTAGATACTTCGACTTTTACTTTTCTTACAGCCACCTTTTTGATCTATGGATTTAAATTGGTCTTGTGCTCCCAAGCTAATCGTAATTTTAGGGGTACTTGTAACAATGTACTTCTTATTGATACTTTTGTCATGGTTATTCTATCTTTCTTCGGAACCGGAACATTGAATCTATGCATTACCATACATTCCGCTGTAGTATTAATTGCTATTGCATGTATATTCCATCATATATAGCGTCGAGCTGCAATTCATCAATTTAATATAATTTTATTCCTCGTCTGTGCAATTTCTCTTCCTAGCTTTTGGTTCTGCATACTTTATACGACAAATTGTCTTATCTATAATTTTTTGTATCCTCACTGGCTCTGACAAACTTGGGATATATTGGATAAGGGAGGCGCAATCCAAGTTCATGTCCGGTTTCAATTCCATCCTGCAGGGCTTCCTTGTCTGTATTGGAGCCTCCAGTCGGTTGTATCAGTCACACAAAATATCACAGCTAGTCTTTTCCGCCCTTAAAAAATCTTTTCTACATGGCAAAACTGAATTAACTTAAGAGAAGTTGGGTTTCGAAATTCAGCTCTTTCCTAATTTCTCTGAGTTATAGCGAATATTGCGTACATATTTTGCAACACACACACACACACACTCAAGTATGTATCATAATCAGTACAAAATGGAAATAAAGAAATGATCATACATCTTCTTATATCAATTTATTTTTGTTTTTAGTAATGATTATATATAAATATATATATATATATATATATCACCTAGGATACATCCGGATAGTATCATTTACTTAACCTGAAGCTTTTTCAGGAATGAGTTCCAGGTATAAACTTATCCATGACTGATGGAGGAAGGTTCAGCCCGAAACGAGGAAGGATTCCTCGTGGACTGGGTTAACATAAGCGTTTTATTAAGGCTGTAATCGTCTTCCGGAAAAATCTACCTGAGAATTTTTCCATCATGTAATATCATATGAAATATGAATCTTCAAATGAGTATATTAAAGCGAAAATCTCTTCAAGATAATTTTCCAAATACGATTTAGCTTTGATTTGGTCTAATTTCTGCAACTGTATCGTGGCCGCATTACCCCGTCCATAGTAGTCAGTGGCCTAATACACTGCCAGACATTTACCCGGCATCGTCAAGGGGAAGCACTGAGATACAATACATACCAATTATAAATAAAGGCATTTTTCTTGATAAATTTTCTGTTTATCGTTTGTGTCATCTCTTCTTCCCTCCTATTACCCCTTAGTGATACTGCAGCCTTTGAATAGTTGCCTAAAATAAGTATGGAAAAACGATTTATTTATTGGTATATGAGACTGCGAACAAACCCATATATAGCCTGACCATCTTCCTCTTCATATTTAGCCTTTTCCTTTACGTTTCAGAGAATTGTCAAACTCGCTGACTACCTTATTGATGGAAGTGACACAAATAAAGTCAAATTCTTAAGAAATTCGTATTTGTTTTTAGCAATGTTTGTACTACTTATTTGAAATGCCTCACCAAGAGTAAAACGTATAATTGTCTTAAATTCAGAACACCTGCCGTGAAGACAATTTAACATGAGCAATATTTTGTTTGGTGTTTTTAAAGATTCATTAATCTGATGTTTATTCTATGGCCCAGACGGAAACTCCTTTGAAGAGGATCCAGAATTTCATACCGAGAAAGAACTCTGCAGCAGCCCCGCTGAAAGAACTTCACAGTAAGATTCTGAAGGCACAAGTTTACAAATGTTAGGCTGTACCAGTTCTTAGTAAATCAACTAGATGTAGACTGAGTGGCAAATGAATGGGACTTGCATTTGTTTGAAGGAGACCACAGAGCCATGACAACTTGGGGGTCGCGTAAAGTTAGGCAAAGACTGAAGGGAACAAATAGTATCTGGACCTAGGGCGGATGTAAATGCTGGCTCATGATCAAAGACAATCCTTCCACCCACTGAATGGCATATGAGACCGAGGTCACTTTAAGGAAGAATGAGGAGAAAACGAAGTATGCTTACGAGTATATACCTGATGCGTTGTTGGGCCGAAATTCATATGCATAGAAACGAATAATATCGGCTGAAGCCTTAAGATATAAGACTGAAAAGGGTGAATGGAAATAAATGCAGAGGCAGTCAACAAAATTCTCGTCAATAATACACTAAAGTGGATGGTATTACAAAAGAATTTCCAATGATGTTCTGATTTCGAAACGAGTGTTTTAGAAGTAGGCAAAGCTTCTGAGTCTAATGTCTTGTGAGCATTTATGGTACAGTTATGGGTCATTATTATGTAAGAAGGCTTGTCATAGGCGGCATGGAGGGTACTCCTACTTTGGTATAAATTCACGTTCCATACTATCATCCGGAGGACGGCGCTTCGGCAACATATACGGGACTAGGAAAGCGTCCATAAATACAATAAGTTCCTGGAGCCCAAGATAACAAATTCTAGAGGAGGATGGGTACCTTACCTTTTTGCCGTACGTCAAGATTGAATCATTTAGCCTGACATGCATATTAAACTGGTGGTTTGGAGGCTAGGTGATGAGTATAGAATAAAAGCTAAATCACTTAATCGGTTCATATGTCTCCGGTTAGGAGGCAAAGTGGTAGAAAAGTTTGGCGCTTTAGAAGCCACTCAGAGTTATACAAACCTGTTTACAGTTTTGCCAAAGGGAAAAAGATGCATCTCATATCAATAGGGGCTCTAAAGTACGTGCCTAAAAAGAGACGTTAATGGAATAGATTACCCTAAATGAATTGGTGAACTAATTTGTTCCGCCAAATTTCCGCCTTGGTTAGTCACTGAGGCAGCCAGAATGAGAAGAGAGCCAAAGCATAAAATTGAAGACGCAAAAGTCTGTCTCGGAAGCTCCTAGTTTTTGTGGCGATCATCCAAGTTGTTTGTATGCAAGGGATCGTGTGCCCCAAAGTATTCACATATTTCTTCTTTTGCTTGGCTGCATGAAAGCCTTAAAAAATCGCATTCCTTTTATTAGCCATGAAGACATCGACGTCTGCCTGAGTGAAAGTATTTCTCAGATTTATGACATACAGAATCAATTGCTCAGAATAGCAATGCAAGAATATCATGGCTGAGTATCTTAGTCGTCTGTAGGTGTCTTTGGCAAGGAGATTAGTAAACCTAATTAATAGGGCAGCCAGACATACGGGGATGGATGAAAAGACATGATTTTCAGTGAATTGTGGACATGATGAAAGAGGGCAGAGAGGATGAATCTAGCGATTCCACGGCATCTTTCGATATCCCGCGAAGTCTCGGTTTAGGGTTTCGCGCGCGTTGGCCACTGGCGTGCCCAGTCCCGAAGTGATCACCTTCACGGGCTTAGGTGTGAGTTCAGCAGCAGAGTGTTCCGGTTCCACAGACTGAACTGACCCGGTCACAACACGGACTCGAGCTCCGGAGGCAGTCGACTGGTCGGCATTGATGATTCGCATTAAGGCGACCGGCTTTTCAGGGATCGTGTCGCGAGCGGACTCAAATCGAGGCCCGGCTGCGTGGACAGTCGAGGTCTGCAACTGTCTGGCAGAGGTCTTGCTGCTGGCAGGAACATCGCGTCGTTCTGAGATGCCATTGGAGAGAGGAGAAAGGGCCGTCTCGAATCGCTCCTGGAGACAGGTGAATTCACGCTTTATGTCCTCTGTATACGCCTGGCTATCCTTGGACTTTACTGAACCGGCCACCAAAGGCCTACGAACACCGTCATTTTTGGACTGTGTTAACAAATGTAATCAAAAAGAGATGCATACACTTGGTCAAATAGTGGTTATGGCAAGCATAATATTATGTATACGGAGAGAAAGTGGGTTTCAATGGAATTAGTAGATTGGAGAATACGCTAAATATAAATAATGGAGGTAGAAAGATGAGCAAACACTACTTATGCTTGATTGATGTACTTGAGAGGAGAGAGGTTTTTTAACAATCGACAAATACAAGACGATGGATGCTTTTAGCCTAACAAATTCGTGCAAGTGATTTTATGCCCATCAACGCATCCAGAAATACGTCATAGCTTTTCGTTAATAATTAGGCCTTAATGATTCTGCTCGGCTCTGCTGTATTTACCCAAAGATATGACAAGTGGTTGTGTGCCCTGACGAACGGAAGTCAAACTAAAGCATTTATG